TAAGCCTAATGTCCTCACAGTTGCTACCTGTTGACCTTGACACCTCCATGTACCCTTCTGTATGTCCTCTGTCTTTGGGGACCCTGTATTCTGGAGAGTGTTGTTCATTATGTTGACTGCTGGGGCTGGGTGTCCAGGGGCCCTGAGCTCTGCCCTGAGTCCCAGCACATGAAAGCTATGTACCCTTGGACAGGCTCAGCTCACTCAGTTCCAGGAGTGGGATGACAGAAGGGGCCTTGTGGCAGTGAGGTGAGCAGAGAGTGTACAGCATATAGAATGGAGCTGGGATGTGAGCAGGGATCCGTAATGAGTGCTGCAGATGAAGGAGCAGCTGATGCTTGAGCTAATGTGGAGCTCAGTCTATAGCCAAGGGAGATGTAGAAGGAGGGATCAGGGCCTGGTCCACACTGTATTCTGGCAGTCTGGTGCCCTCTGGTGGGAACAAGAGCCCCACAGGAGGGAGTTCAGTGGCACAAGGTGGCTCAGTAGGGAGTCACAGTCACACCCCACAGAGCAACCTTTGGCATGAGCACCAGGTCCCACAGCTCAGGTCCTACCTGATTTAAATGCAACCCAGGGCCAGAGATGATAACATCATCCCTTGATCACCAGGTTCTTGGAGTATGGGAAATAATGAGTGGGCTTGGCTCCCTGTGAGCCATGACCTTTTTCCTATGCCTTTCTTCAGTGCAGCTTGCTATGCGTTGCTATTTATATACTATGACATAAAGAATCCAATGTGACAGAAGCTCAGCCAGAAGCCACCAGCTTCACCCTTCCTGTGGTATACCTCTCCTCTTGACTGTATATCCTTTGCAATGACATTGACTTTGCTCCTCAGCACAGTGTGCACATCATGCTGTAAGCATTGCTTACCATCCCTTCCTGTGATAACCATGTAGCAGCAGTACCTATGGTTGGGAATACGTTGCCCTGTGTGTCTCCTGTACCATTCCAGGTCCCCATGGGGCCGAGGCAGACCTTGTAAGCACCTCTCAGGCCTCCACTCATGTTGGGTCAGTTCCTTCCACTGGTCAAATCCAGCACCATAGGCAGGAAAAGGGAGGGCTGGGCCTCCCCAGGCTCTGACTATGCTATGCAGGCATAGGGGAATAATTCAAGAGGAAGAGATAATAATTCTAAATATATATGCACCAAACACCAGTGTGCCCACTTCACAGAACAAACACTACTGAACATAAAAAAATAAGATAAACACAAATTATAATGAGGGACCTTAATATCTCACTGTTATAAAAAGATCAACCAGATCCCTCCCCCCAAAAAAAATCAACAAAGATATAGTAGAGTTGAACCAAACTTCTGAACAAGTGGACTTAATATATATCTACAATGTTCCACCAAATAACAAAATACATATTCTTTTCAGCAGCGTATGAGACTTTTTAGAAAATAACGCACATGCTAGCCCACAAAGCATGCTTAAGTAAATGAAAAAAAAATTGAAATTAACCCATGGACATTATCAGATCAAAGTGCAACAAAACTAGAAATCAACAGCAAAAGAAGTCACAGAAATTTAGCAAACACATGGAAATTAAATAATATCCACTGAATAATAACAGAAAAAACAATTAAGAAACTAATACTAAGAATCAAACTATAAGCCCAGTACAACATAAGAACTTATGGGATACAATGAAAGCAGTCTAAGAAGGAAGTGTACACTTCTGAATGCCCACATTAGAAAAACAAGAGTTCAAATAAATAACCCAATGATGCACCTCAAGGGCCTACAAAAACAAGAACAATACAAATCCAAACCTAGTACAAAGATGCAAATTATAAAGATGAAAACAGAAATTAATGAAACTGAGACTTAAAAAAATACAAAGAACCAATGAATCAAAAAGATAATTATTTGAATGAATAGACAGACCCCTATCCAATCTTACAAACAAACAAACAAAAAAGACAAATCAATGCAATTAGAAATTTTAAAAAGGCAAAATCACAAAGGACTCTGCTGAAATCCAGAAGATGATTAGTAAGTAGTTGAAGAACCTGCGCTAAAAAAATTAGAATTGAGAAGAAATGGCTAGAGTCCTAAATACACATGACCTACCAAGCTGAACAAAGAAGACATAAAAGTTCTGAATAGTCCATTATTACTATTGACATTATTGACATTACTGAACTAAAGTTCTGAATATCCATTGTCAGGCAATGAAACTGAAGATATAATTTTTTAAAACTACCAACTAAGACAAGCCCAGTTCTCAATGGATTTACTCCCAAATTCTATAAGAACCCTAGGGAAGATCTAACACCAATCCTTTTCAAACTCTTCAATGAAATCAAAAGATAAGCACTATTTCCAAAGTACAAGCATTACCCTGCTAGCATTACCCTCATTCCAAAATCAGAAAAAGACCCAATCAAAAAGAGAACTACAGGCCAATCATTTAAAGAACATAAACATAAAATTCCTCAATAAGATACTGGCAAGTAGAATGCAACAAATCATTAAAACCAAGTAGGATTCATTGCAGGGATACAGGGATTGTTCAACAACTGTAAATCAGTTAAGTGGCATATATCACATACACAGAAGGGCTAAAGTCACATGATCAACTCAAGTGATACAGAAAAGGCCTTGAAGAAATCCAAACTCCACTGATTTAAAAAATGAGGAAAATTGATACTTAATGTCAATTTGATTTTTATGACAAACCAATGGCCAACATATTAAGTGAAGAGAAGCTCACAGCTACCCCCTGCTAAAATCAGGAGGAATTCAAGAAAGTCCACTATCACCACTACTATTCAATACAGATCTCAAATGATTAGCCAGAGAAATCAAGCAAGAGAAAAAAAAAGGGATAAGCATAAGAAAGAAGTCAAATCATCACTATTTGAAGATGATATGATCCTCTACATAGAAGTCCCGCCCCCAAATTCCACCAAAATACTCCTTGAATAACCAAATTCAGTAGTATAGCAGGATATAAATCAAAACAAAAAATCAGTTTCTGTACATCAATAATAAATTCACCATGAAAGAAATTAGGGACATAATATCTTTCACAATAGCATCAAAAAAAAATGAAATACATAGGAATTAACCAAACCAAGAAAATGAAAAACCTTACAGTACTCTGAAAAAGGAGACATCAGAAAATGGAAAGATATCCCATTACTGGACAGACAGAATGAGTATAGTTACAATGGCCATATCTCCAAAACTGATATACAGATTAATGCAAGCCCAATAAAAATATAAATAGCATTCCTCAGAAATATAGAAAACAATACTAAAATTCACATGTATCAGGAAAGGACCTAGAACAAAAACAACCCTTGTCAACAAGAGCAAAATAGGAGGAATCTCAATTCCAGACTTTATGTTATACTATAATGCTATAGTGATAAAAACATGATGATAGTGTTAGCAAAAACAAAACAAAAAATAGATACATGAATCAGTGGAATAGAACAGCAGATGCAGAAGCAACTCCAAGCATGTTCAGCTACCTGATATTAGAAAAAAGGGGCCAAAAACCTATGCTGGAGAAAAAAATCACTTCTTTATCAAATAGTGCTGGGAAAACTGGCAATGGACATGCAGAAGACCAAATCTAGACCCGTATGTCTCACCAGGTACTAAATTAAAAGCAAAATGGATAAAAGATCTAAATATCAAAACCGAAATAATCTGCAGGAAGATAAATTAGGTCAAATTCTTGAAGACTTAGGTATAGGTAAGGACTTTCTGAACAGAACCAACTGCATGAGACAATACCAAGAATCAGCAGATGGGATTATATCAAATTAAAAAGCTTCTGCACAGCAAAGAAAACAACCAACAAAGCAAAGAGACAACACATAGAGTGGGAAAAAAGTTTTGCCACCCATTCCTTGGACAGAGGACTCATATGTAGAATATATATATAAAGAACTCAAAAAATAAGACCACCCTCCAAAGAAAAAGACTTAATCAAAACATTGGGCAACAGAAATGAACAGACAATTCTCAACAACACAGATGGCCAATATATATGCATGAAAAATGCTCAACATCTCTTGCCATTAGAGAAATGAAAATCATAACAATGCTAAGATTCCTTAGCACTTACTCCAGAAAATGGGTATCATCAGGAAATCAAATAACAAATATTGGTAAAGTTACTGGGGAAGAAAAAACCCTTCTTCACTGCTGGTTGGCATATAGACTAGTATAACTATTATGGAAATCAGTATGATGATTAAAAATATTAAAAGAAGAAATTCCATTTGCCCCAACTATTACCCTGCTAGGTACCTTCCAGAAAGAGTTAAACATGCCATACTACAGTGACACATGCATACCCATGTTTACACAAGCACAAATCACAATAGCCAAAATCTTGGAAGTGGCCTATGTATACATCAATAGATAAATGGATAAAGAAAACATGGCATATATACATAATGGAGTACTAGTCTGCCATAAAGGATAGAGTTGTCATTCACAAGAAAATGGATGCACCTTGGGACCATAATTTTAAGTGAATACAGTAAAAATTAGACACACAAGCTTAAATATCACATTTTCTATTATATGAGAAACAAAACAATGTACAAAATAAAATATTATATAAAAAAAGAGATGAAGGGGAGGCAAGGAGGGAGGGTAGTGAAAAAATGTACCTGCAGTGGAAGGTACAGGAAGGGGATAATATAACCATCATAATTTTCCAGTCACTAAAAAAAAATGAATAAAATATGACTTACAGGAATAATTGTGTCCATATTACTTGAAGTTTAATGACTCTAGGTAAAAAATTACTAGAGAAGTTATTATGTTGTTTATCCAATAGTATATTATCATCTGTTATCAGCAACCTTCAGTAAGGAGGAGTTTAACACCTAAGTTACAATGACTTATCACTCAATACTCAATACTGTTAACACATTAGGAATATTTAACTTATTTCTTTAAAAACTTAAAGATTATATATAATCTCCAGAAAATTAAAAATTCATTCTATATTCTCTGGGAAACAATTTAAAAACTGTCAGAAACCTATCTTGTTCTGATATAATGTCCAATTTGGAAGATATTCTTTGTCCGGTTTTCAAAAATGAGGCTATTTAATAAACATAGACTTATAATCAACATATTCCTTTAGAGATGAGTAATCCACATTGTTCTGATGGGTATGTTTCCTTTCTACCACATCAAGTAGTGATGTCTAGTATATTTTAAGCAAGAGTTGTTATTTAGCACATTTTCCTATTTGTAGGATTTATCCCTAGTAACACATCTTTCACATTATGGTTAGAGATATGAATAAAGGCTATTCTTTACCTTTATATTTGTAAATGATTTTTTCCAAAATAAATATTTTGATGTTATGAAGTGCATATTTTTCTCAAAGTCTCTCCAGTTAATACATATGTAAAGTTTTAATAAAAATCTGTATCTTCTCATGTTGAATGAAGACTCAATATCCATGAAAGGCTTTTTCATATTTTTGTATTTGTAGGGGTTTTCTCCAGTATAAGTTATCTTATGCTGATTAAAATGTGAAAAAACTGTTACAAGCTTTTCCAGGAGATTTACCTTTATAGGATTTTTATCTAACATGAATTTGGCCATGTTGTCTAAGATTGGAAGTATGTGTTCTTTGGTGCCGAGAAAGATGTGAAATTTGATTAAAACTTTTGTCACATTCTGTGCATTTATAGGGTTTCTCACCAGTATGAATTCTCTGGTGTTTAGTAAGGGTTGAGCTTTGATTAAAGGCTTTGCCACATTCTTTACACTTGTAGGGTTTCTCTCCAGTGTGAATTCTTTGGTGTCCAATAATGGTGGAGCAATACTTAAAGGCTTTGCCACATTCTTTACATTTGTATGGTTTCTCTCCAGTGTGTATTCTTTCATGATTACTAAGATTTGACCTTCGATCAAATGCTTTGCCACACTGTTTACATTCGTAGGGTTTCTCTCCTGTATGAATTCTCTGATGTTGAGTAAGCGTTGAACTTTGATTAAAGCATTTCCCACATACGTCACATTTATAGGGTTTCTCTCCAGTATGAATTCTTTGGTGTCGAGTAACCGTTGTACAATATCTAAATGTTTTACCACATTCCTTACATTTATAAGGTTTCTCTCCCGTATGTGTTCTCTGGTGCCGAGTAAGATGTGAAGTTTGATTAAAGGTTTTGTCACATTTTGTACATTTGTAGGGCTTCTCTTTAGTATGAATTCTCTGGTGTTGAATAAGTGTTGACCTCTGAATAAAAGCTTTGCCACATTCTTTACATTTGTACGGTTTCTCTCCAGTATGAATTCTTTGGTGTCGAATAATGGTTGTGCAGTATCTAAAGGCTTTGCCACATTCTTTACAATTGTAAGGTTTCTCCCCTGTATGTATTCTCTGGTGCTGAGTAAGAGGAGAAATTTGGCTAAAGGTTTTGTCACATACTTTACATTTGTAGGGTTTCTCTTTAGTATGGACTCTCTGGTGTTGAGTAAGTACTGACTTTTCAATATATGTTTTACCAGAGTCTCTAAATTTATAGGGTTTCTCTCCAATTTTAATTGCTTGATGCTTAGCAAATGTTGAGTTCTGATTAAAGGTTTTGTCAGAATTTTTACAACTGTAGGATTTCTCTCCAGGAAGAATTAACTGATGTTGAATAGGGCTTAAGCAATATTTAAAGGGTTTATCATTATCTTTAAAATTGTAGGATTTCTCTCTAGTATGAATGTTCTGATGTTGATTAAAGATAGAGTCATCAACAAAAGCTTTGCCACAGTCTTTACAATTATAAACCTTATCTTGAAAATGGGCACTTTGATGGGTAGTAAATTCTGAGGACTGGTCAAAGACTCTCCCACACGTATCACATTTATAAATGTTCTCTGAAAATTGTTGTTTATTAGGATTTGAGCCATGGTAAAAATTTTCAATACTTTCATTATAAGGATAAATTTTCTTTTCAATATGAGTATCCTGGCAATTATATAGAGTACAGCTGTTCTTAAAGGCCTTCCCATTTTTATTATATATGTCATTAGTTTTCCAAATATCTATATGTGGACTTTGATTATGTGTTAATGGACGCATAAATTCCTTCCCATATTGGTTAAAACTGCATATTTTGGCACAGGAAAAGGTAGGCTTAATAGTCTGATGTGGATTATTAAAATGTAGTGGCATAAATTCAGATATATTTTGTGAGGCTATATGTTCTTGATTTTTATTGACAGTGAAGTTTTTGTTATTTTCAGTTGTCATACACTGGTGGTATCCATTATGAAATGGATTCTCATCTTCATACTTAACAATTTTCCAGTCTTTCTTTAAGTGCAAACTACTAAAGCCACAATTTTCAGATCTTTGATTTATCACTTTTTGAAATGAATGTTTCATGTCCTTCTCTGATGAAAATCCTTGGGTATGATGAGAAGACATAGCTGCTAAAAAAGTAAAAATAACCAATTATCCCACAGGTTAATATAGCTTACAAAACTAATATATAACATTATACCAATCTGAAGACTTCAGCAGGATAATAGAATACAAAAGTTCCTCATTCATTTCCCACAGATACATGAACTTGACAAAACTCTCAAACAATTATCTAGAACTCTGAAAAACAGTTATAAGTTCACAGCAATCTAGCTGAATGTAACCCTAAGAAGAGTCACATGCATGAGGGAAAGAAAGTTTTTTTTTTTTAAATAAAGTTATTAGTAGAAGTTATTTCCGTTAACCACAACTCATCCTCTTCAGTACTGGGTAGTTACTATACAACTCCCAAACCTTTTCTTTCCCTCAGGAAACACAGAGGACAGTGGATCACATATGGACACATTTTGGCTTTAGAGGTGGTATAAAAACTGTTTTCTGTTTACCCTTATGTGGAGAATGGGAGATAAGAGGTATATTTTACATGAGAGTTCCTGTCATATGAGACCAAATCTAACTAGTAATTAGAACAGGAGCCAAGTGAGGAGAGTACCACATATAGTCAACAAGAGTAGGAGGGAGTACAGGGCATTAAACAATGTTAATAAACTTTTTTCACTGGAAAACACAAGTGTAATTATAGGGAAGACTCATACAAAAACAGGTTTGAGAGGCCTAGCATAGATGATTGAATGTTGCCAAACCATAGACATTGACAAATGAATTTTTATATTATTTTGTAAAAATTCTACCTAGCATTTATTCATTTAAATTGCACATATAACTTGAGTAAATACCAAATAGTTTCTCTGATGTGAAAAACTAAAAAATGTAAATAAGGTTCAAATGGTATAATTGATAGTGTAAAATAGGAAGAAAATGGCTAAAGGGGAAGTGGGAAGGGGAGTGGAAAGGAAATAAGGGAAAAGAAAAACTGTGAAAAAAGGAAAAAATGGAAACAAAGTCTTTGTAAACAGGGAAGGGTGAAGTGGGTGAAGGGAGGGCAGGGGTATATGGAAAAAAAAAAGAACCAAGACATGTCATGTAAAGGTACAAGATCCCAATGATAAATGTAACTGTACTGTTTGTTTTAAATACACCAATAAACTTAATGTACATATATACCATGCATATTATATTGTTTTCAAATTATTTTACATAATAATCACTTCTGTTCTCAGACACTCTATGCAGTCTATTAGCATTTCTGAAGAATGCAATGTATTAATTATATTCACCATGTTGTAATAGATAACTCTTGAACTTTTAAAGCTTTGTCGTCTAAAATTTGCAATCTTTGAGTATCATCTCAAATTCTCTGCCAATAATTATAGGCCATGGTAACCACCATTTTACTACATATCTAAAAGCAACTTTTTAAGATCCCACATATAGTTTAGATTATATACTAATTGCATTCTGCTCAGTTCAATTATTATAAAGTCCTGCATGACTACCTGTACTGAATCAAATTATGAGATTATCTTTCTTTTTTTTTCCTCATTGAGTTTATTGGTACATTTTAGTTATACAGTACAGTTACATTCATTATTGGGATCTTGTACCTTTACATGACAGGTCTTGGTTCTCATTTTTTCCCCTTGTCCCTGCCCTCCCTTCACCCCTCCTCCCTCCCCCTTTATGAGATTATCTCTTTCTGTGGCTGAATAGTAACCCACTTATACATAAAATCATATATACCATATGATCTTATTCCTTCATCTATTAAAGACAACTTAGACTGCATCTATTTCATGATTATCATGAATAATGTTGCAATGAAATGTGCATTGTAAATATCTCTTCAACACAGTGCCTTATTTTCCTTTCGCTATAGATTCTGTTGTGGGATTATTGGATCATATGACTTTTCTATTTTTATTTGTTGTTCTTTTGTATTGCTGGGGATCAAACCCAGGGACTTGTCTTTGCTAAGCATGTGCTCTATAAATAAGCTATACCTTCAGTCTTATTTTTAATTTTTTGAGAAATTTTGATACTGTTTTCCATAATGACTGTAGTAATATGCAGCAGAATGTTTCTCTTTTTTTAATTTAAATTGAATTTATTGGTACATTCTAGGTAGAGAGTAAAGTTACATTCGTTACTGGGATCTTGTACCTTTACATGCCAGGTCTTGGTTCTCATTTTTTCCCTTCAGAATGTTTCTTAAGTAGATAAATCTCAACAAAAGTTAACAGAACTTAACAAAAACACAGAAAAAAACACTGACCAAAGAACAAATTAAAATAGAGTAGAAATTAGCCCCGAAAAAATGACATTTATGAATTCTTAAAGAATTTAAAATAATCATTTGAAGCATGCTTAATGAGCTAAACAAGAACCCAGAAAACTGAAGGGACTCAGGACAACAAAAATATTAATGGATAAACATTTTAAATAGAAACAATCAATCAGAAAGGGTGTAGTTGAAGTATTCAATAAGTAACAATGCCTGATAGAGACATCTACACTCAAATAGCTCAATTATCTCCAACTAGGACAGACACAGACACTCAAAATGAACATATTGAAATCAAAGTTTCAAAGTCACAGTGAAAGAGAACATCTTGACAGCAGAAAAAAAAATGATGTCATATATAAATTTCTCACGTACCAGTGGATTTTTCTGTAGAAACCTTGATACGTAAATAAGAATTGAGAAATATAGACACAGTTCTAAAAAAAAAAAAAAAAAACTGCCAAGAATATGGCATGCAAAAAACTATCCTCCTTAAAAATATTACGTATTGCCGGGCATGGTGGTGCACACCTGTAATCCCAGCACTTGGTAAGATGAGGCAGGAGGATAGCTGTGAGTTCGAGTCCAGCCTGGGCTACATAGTGAGTTCCAGGTCAGTCTCAACTACATAGTGAGACCCTGCCTCAAAAAACAAAAAACCAGAAAAAAAAAATTAAGTATTTTTTGAGATAACTGCTCAAAAAGTTCAATACCACTAGACATTGAAATGTCTAAATAAAGAAAGGGTAAAGTCAGACCTTCTTACTGAAAAGTAAAATAATGTTGCAAAGTAACAAGGCACATAAAATTTTATGCCTCTCAGGGAAATATATAGACATGTACAGAATTCCATAGCACTAAAATGAAGATGCAAAAAACATTTTCAAGTTTACTATAGAATTTGAAGATTAAAAATACAAAACATCATAAGCAGCTTTTAATATGCATGCAATATAATAATATTTCTGACATTAATAACAATGTTGAGGAGAAATATAAAGATAAAATTTAATTTTTAGGTGGAATTCAAGTTGTTACCAGATTAAAATGTGATAATTCCTAATACAATGACAAAATACCTAAATAAAATAAAAAGGCAATATGACAAAAGTAAAAATAAAATAAATCAATAAAACACAAATTAAAGCAATTAGAGTAGAAAAAATAATTACAGAAATATTTAGCATAAGCACAGTATTAGTTTCATCCTTTACAGTAACTTAAATTTAAATTAATCTAAAATCCCAATCAAAATAATACAATGGCCACTTGAAATAAACCTACAAAAATTTAAATATATGACTTTGGGAGGTTCTTTTCAGATCTAAGTACATAAAAAGAGAAAGTGAAAAGATGGCCATATTTCATAAAAGCTGTCAAAAAGAGAACAGGAGTGACCATAAATACATGATAAAATATTCTTAAACTCTGATGCACCATTTAAACAATTCTAGATACGTATCATTTTCAGCTATGACTATGCATCCATGACGTACTGGCTTTTTGTTTCACTGACTCATTTTATGGTGTAAGAATTTCCACAGAACATCCATTAAAATTATACACAAAGTGCTGTGCTGAGACCATTTTAATGAGTAAGTATAGAAGCCTCACAATGTGACTAATATACTAAATTAGATTAAGCCTTGAGAGATTGGTACAGATCTTCTGAGACTACCATAGGCAATGGAAGAGCAGTCCAAGCATGCAGACCCTCACAGGTGACAGTGATAACTTTGGCCATCATTGTGAATCACCTAGGTCACAGGAGGGAAGAGAGAAGCCTAGAGGAATCGAGAGTGTGATAGACATGGGGCAAGAGAGTCCTTTTTTGACACCAAGAGGAATAAACTTGATTTCTAAAAATCATTTCTATTCAAACAGAAGTTCTCATTTAATATTATAAAGCCTTTGAGGGCCAGGGATTTGGCTCAGAGGTTCCACTGCCTGCCTCACAAGTGCAAGGGTCCAGGCTCGACCCCTGGTAACAGAAACAAAGCCTTTAAGCCTCTCATCCTTGTCCTCTGCTTCATTAATCTCTACCTACCTGGATGTATAGCTGCTGTTCCCTGACTCTTTACATCCCAAAGCTCCTTGCTTTGCTCCAGAAAGGTGATCAGGTATGGCTTAGTGACAGCTAAACCTGTTAATTGAAAAATGGAACATGGCACCTGCTTTAGTTTCTCCCAGCAACTATTGACATTTCTTCCTGATCAGTGTAGGCACTAGAAAAGACATGAAAGAAGATTCTAAAACGTTCATTACCCAAAATATTTCCAGATAAAAAGCATTTCTAATTTGTAGACCCTGAACTCCACTTGCAACTACTAAATCAAAACGGGGTTGGGGGAGGGTGCTTTAAGTAACAGGAGACAATTTTTATATCACCGAATTTCTAAAATTATCATTAATCACAGGGAAGGATGTGTAATACATCAAGAAAGAGGCATGCAAAAGAGAAGAATGAATGACATAAAAAAATTCTTGTCTATACTGAAAAACCCTCAATTTTTTTCTTTGAAATCAAAATTTAAAACTCATTCATATGAAGCAGAAGCTTCCAAGAGATAATATAAAAAAGAATGGAAATTAATGCTGACTGAATCAGGAATCTATAGGGAAGTTATACTCACCCAGGGAGAGGAGGTTTCTGTAGTTCTCTATCATCACATCTCTATACAAATTCTGCTGAGCAGGCTCCAGGAATTCCCACTCTTCTACAGAGAAATCAATGGCCACATCCCTGAATGTTAACATTTCCTGAAATCAATCAATCAATCAATTAATCACAGAAATTTTGATTCTGTGGTCGCTGAGAGAGTTCATAATTTGACCCGATATGAAATGAATTAAAATTGCATTTGACTTAGGTCAGTGCTCTTTATTATTTTATAGGATATTATTCAACACGAATATTCTTGAATGTAGTAGTATTTAATTCTGAGGAAAAAAGCATAACACAAAATTCACAAAGCCAGTGTAAACACTATATCTTAAAATTCAAAATATAAAATCAATACATTTCCAACTATTGCATTTCTATTTTAAAAGATAAGGTCTATATATTTCTCATGTGAGAAAGTTGCCATAAGTCACAAAAGTACTTCTCAAATTTTAATGTTACAACCAATAATGGGAGAGCTTATTAAAATGCAGATTGTGATTCAGAATTGGTGTGGTTTTGGCTTCAGATTGCGCGCAAAGCTTAGAAGTAATGCTAAGTTCAATGGTCCAAAGAGACACAATTTTAGATAGCTAAAAGGTAGCACATCACAGATTTCACAATGAATTTAAACGAATAAACTTTACAGTATTTATACATTTTAATATACTAGCAAATATAATAATTCTTTCTGAACATATTAAACATACTAGGTATAATTCTATTGATTTTTATATTTTTTATTAGTACATGGTTGTAGTACATGTTTACATTCCTTGTGGGAAACTAATATATGTACATAATTCTTTTTTTTTGTTTTTTTGAACAGGGTCTCTCTATGTATTTGAGACTGACCTGGAACTCACGATGTAGCCCAGGCTGGTCTTGAACTCACAGTGATCCTCCTGCCTCAGCCTCCCAAGTGCTGGGATTACAGGTGTGCGCCACCACACCGGCTCTCATAATTCCCTTTTCTTAATCGCCTTTTCTTTCCCTCTCTCCTCTCTATATTTCTTGACATAACTTTTGATAACAGTATTTTTCTTCTTACATAGTATGTTTTTCCAAATATCCACTAAATTGTAGAAGAGTTTTATTCAAGTTCATGTCACCTAAAATTTACATAAGACATAAGAAAAATTATTAATGCTAAAAGAATGTGCTGAAAAGTTTTTGTAACTGAAGACATGCATGAAACACACTGCAATAACTAAACAAAATTGATCAGATACTACTTACATTTTATACACACACATGAAACATTACACAATGTAAGTAGTAAAAATATTTACATCAATAAGAATAAAATTGTTTAAAACCTTACATCTATTGGGGGATATTCTATTTTTTTCCATTAAGTTTATTGGTATATTTAAGGTAAATAATAGTTACATTCATCATTGAGATCTTGTACCTTTATGTGATATATCTTGGTTTTATTTTTTTCCAATTCCCCAGCCCTCCCTTCACCTCCTTCACCCTTCCCTATTTACAAAGACTTTGTTGTTTCCATGTTTTTCCTATTTGCTTTTCCCTTATTTCCTTTCCTCTACCCTTCCCACTTCCCCTACTCCTTTAGACCTTTTCTTCCTATTTCACATTATCAATCATACCATTTGAACCTTATTTACACTTTTAATTTTTCACACCAGAGAAACTATTTGGTATTTACTCATTTGTGTCCGGTTTATTTCACTTACAAGCATGATTTTAATATGCATCTGCAATAATGAGACAACCATATTTAAGGATAGAAACTAAAATAAGAACACAGATTCTGAATCTGGTATTTCAGTGTGGGGAAACTGAAACTCCCACCTAAGAATAGTATGTGGAAAACTAGAAGTGGTTAAGAACAAGGAGTTAATCTATCAACTTGATGTCAACAGAAACCACTGTGACCAGATAGAGAGAGCATTCCGGCCCAAAGTGCATGTGAATGCCTTTTGATCTGTAGGAACTGTAAAATGCTATGGTGTCTAATCATTCTCTTGTGGTCTTTCTGCAGATGTTTCTTCTGTAGATTTTGCTGATAATGTATGTATAAATAACCAGCTTTGCCTCAAATAAAGCAGATGGTCTTTTGTCTCCACTCTGCCTAGAGTGTCTTTCCTTTTCAATCCTTACTCTCTCCTTCAGGTACTGTTCGACTAGTGGGAGCTGGTCCCCCACATTTCAGTAATTTTTTTCCTTTCATTTATTATTCTGTTGAGATATACCACAGACTTTTAAAACACTTTGAAAAAGTCTCAGACATTAAATAAGGAATAACTTGTAGTATTAACTCTTGGAGGAATATTTGGGATAAAAGAATAAACATGTTCAAGACAAATCTTCTAAAATATATTTTTCTAAATTGAAGGTAATTCCTGTAACTGATAAAGAAAAGTTTAAACTTATTTGTGGTAAATGGAGTACTACTCAGCCATTAAGAATGAGAAATTAGAGTCCTTCATAGGAAAATGGATACATATTGAGGATATACTCCTAAGTGAAATAAATAAGTCACACATGTGTAAATACCGAATAGTTTCTCTCATGTGAATAAACTATAATAGTACATAAGATCCTAATTAGATAACTGATAATGTGAAATAGGAAGAAAAGGGCTAAAGGTGTAGGGAAAGTGGGAAGGGTAGGGGAAAGGTAATAAGGGAAAGGAAAAAAATAGGAGAAAATGGAAATAAATTGTTTGTAAATGGGAAGGGGAGGAGCAAGTGAAGGGAGGGCAGGGACAAGGGGAAAAAATGAGAACCAAGACCTGTCATGTAAAGGTACAGGATCCCAATGATGAATGGAACTGAACTGTATACCTAAAATGTACCAATAAACTCAATGAAGGAAAAAAAAAATTATTTGTGGTAAAATAAATAGGAGTCAAAATTTTGGATGCCTGACATCTAAAATCATATGATGCTGGGCAACATGCTTAATACCTCAAATGTAATTTTTCATCAACCTAGTAAGCCACAAAGACCCTGGAAACGCTTCCTCACTTCTAGGAAGATAAATTAGGATGGGTGAAGCATTATCAATCATATCTCTAGGTACCAAGTATGGTGACAGATTAGAGTTGAGAGATCTCCATATCTGGATATAGAGAATTAAGTGAAAAAATGAGAGTATATTGGAGGAAATGTAGACAGATTTTCTCAGTTATGACCAGCTGTCCCTACACTCCAGGCTCCTACCACAAGATCCCACCTATACATAACATTTATTAGGCTTTACCTATCACTCAGCTCAACTAATATATCCTTTCTAACAGCTGGACCAAACTTTCCAATGGTATCCAGTCTTTGAGAGCTCACAAACTAATTCACTCAAATCTTGCTCACTCTGACCAATGAGTCCCCTCATACCATACCAGGTTTACTACTTACCTCAGTGAACAGGACCATCATCCAGCATTCCTCTATCCTGGTATATCTTCCTACCCCTGGAAATGAGCTCTTGTAAAAAATTTCCTAAACTCAAACCAAGATTTCTAAAAAGACTATAAAGTACAAGACCAGAAAATTTATCTGCTGATGAGACAGGACAAAACCATAAAAATACAACACCTTAGTCAGCACACATCTTAATTATATCTTTTTAAATTTAGTGACATTCACTAGCATTTTAAGTACATTTAAATACACATGGATAAATTGATGGCATATAGTTTAAGAGGAAGACCATTTTGTTGCAGAACTGAAATATGAATTCACCATACACCTCCCAGATTCACACTACCTCCATATCCCACTCCCGTTTTTGCCATCTTAGACCGGACCACAAAGTCTACGGAGCTTTTGGCCTGTTTCTACACACCTGAAAGTATATATACTGCCTTCTAAGAGCACCATCTTTTGACTGATCCATCACTCAAAGGACAGCTGCAGTTGCTATCTCTCAATCCCCAGATGCACATGAAGATATCTTGCTAATTTACTTCCCGACAGTCCAGTTCCATGGATTGCAGGTCAGTCATGTCATCCCACACAAGAGATCTATCAATCTTTCTGCTCCTATGAAGTGGTACATTATCCAATCATATTCCCTGTCTCTCAAACCCATGGGCTTCTCCTTGTATCACCTTCAGGGACACAGAATCTGTCACCAGCATCTGCAGAGCACCTTGGGGAGAGCTCGCTAGCATTGGGAATTTCTGGTATGATGGAATAGTGAGCATCAGCCCACCTGCACAGAAGGAACTACTCAAAGATCCTGTGCTGGGGATATCCCTGAAGAGAAGACCAGACTTCCCACAAGACCCTGTTCTTCTCCACTACAAATCAATAGAGGAGGTTCTGCTTATTTTCCCAGCCAAGTCCTGTTGCTAGGAGACAGGTCCTATTGAACAAGAATGATATATGCACATGACAAATGTGCAGAATTTTTGTTACAGATTCAATCATATAAAAACAACCTGGAATACGATGATAATAACAAAGAAATACAAATGGTGACCAATGAGTAACAATAAGAAACTTGTTAACTTTTTATATCAGTATTATGGTCCTAGAACTCACACATTCCAAAGGATGAGAAAAGCATGTCTGCATTTCACTTTAGAAGTTTTAATGAATAGAAAAATAATATGGTCACTCTCTTACAATCCAGCACACACTACACTAATTTTGGAGTCTTCCATGGATTGAATTACAGAAAAAAAAATGTATTTCTGTAAACAATGGAACAAAACCACAGGGTAACAGGGTAGGTATACTCCAGAATCCTTGTTCAAATTTATACTGCCAGTGCCTAAATGTTTCACCTAGGAAATCTCAAGTATACTCCAACCATCATATCATTATTTTCGTGCATGTAAAAACATGTTTGTGATGATCCTGATCTTTCCCTTCCTTGTCTTTGTTTCTTCCCAAAGGAGGCAAGGGATTCTTCATGTGGTGTTTCTCACAGCTGCCTTGACACTGGTTTCTCTTTAATCAAGAACTTTCCATTATGGTTGACCTAGACCTGAGCAGCAGACAGAGGTTGTGGGACAGTGGAGTAAATGTGTGTGTGTGTGTGTGTGTGTGTGCGTGTGTGTGTGTGCGCACGTGTGCTCACTCTTGCCAGAAGTAACCCTTACTGTCTCTCTCCCAATGTATTG